GAAACACATTGCAGACAATGCTCCCTTGTAAATGAAAATGCTAAAAAGAACATCTCTTCCTTAAGAGTGAATCACTTTAAAAAAATAAAAAGATTTATTTTTTTTACTTGAGAGGCAGAGGCAGAGACAAAGAGGTCTTGAAGCCAGGAGCCAGATCTCACATGCGGGCACAGGGGCCCAAGGACTTGGGCTGTTTTCTACTGCTTTCCCAGGCCACAGCAGAGAGCTGGATTGGAAGTGGAGCAGTTAAAACTTGAACTCGAACCGGCGCCCATATGGGACACTGGCACTGCAGGCAGCAGCCCCAAAAGTGAATCACCTTTAGGCTCTTTAAGGAACCAATGAAAAGTAACATTATACTTGAGAAGCCTCAAGATACAAGCCACATATTCCCAAGCACAGCATTGTGGTAGACGTGGAGGCAAACACAGACATATCCCGAGTGAGAGCGCCAGAGCCAAGGTGACCAGAAGTGCCGAAGGGCTCCACAGTGCTGATGCAAGAAGGGAAAAAGCCATTGCTGTTGCCAACCACATAACCGCCAGGTTTGGGGCCTGTGGTTAAAGATACAGACGGGATTGAATGTAGGTGCTGGGGTTTTTTATTGGTTCAATTTTTTTTTTAAATTTTCATTTATTTGAAAGGCAGAGAGACAGAGACAGTGAGATCCTCCATCTGTTGGCCCAGTTCCTAAACGCCCGTAACACTCAGGGCTGGCCCAGGCTGAAGCCAGGAGCCTAGAACACAGCCTGAGTCTTAAAATTGGTTCTAAAATAAAGTTCTTCAAGAACAGTGGTCATGAGATAAGAGATTGGCTCGGTGATTAAGACATTGCTTGGGAGGCTCACATCCTATATCAGAGTGCTGGTTTGCTTCCCAGTGCTGCTTCTGATCTGGCTTCCTGCTGATGCACACCCAGGGAGGCAGCAAGCGGTGGCTCAAGTAATTAGGTCCTTGCCACCCATGTAGGGACCCAGACTTAGTTCTGAGCTCTGGGTTTCAGCCTGGCCCAACCCTGGCTGTTGCAAGCATTTTGGGAGTGAACCACTAAATGGCAGATGTCTCTCTCCCTCTGTCCCCGCTTCCAGCCCTTTCTGTCGCTCTGCCTTTCAAATACATAAGGGACTGGCGCTGTGGCATAGCGGGTAAAGCCACAGGTTGCAGTGCCAGCATCTCATATGGGTGCCGGTTTGAGTCCTGGCTGCTTCACTTCTAATCCAGCTCTCTGCTATGGCCTGGGAAAGCAGTAGAAGATGGCTCAAGTCCTTGGGTCCCTGCACCTGCATGGGAGACCTGGAAGAAGCTCCTGGCTCCTGGCTCCTGGCTTCAGATCAGCACAGCTCCAGCCATTGGGGCCATGTGGGGAGTGAACCTGTGGATGGGAGACTTCTCTCTCCCCCTCTGCCTCTGCTTCTCTGTAACTCTGCCTTTCAAATAAATAAATAAAATCTTTTAAAAAATACATAAATAAGTGGCAGTGAGAATGTAGGGAAACTGGAGCTCTTATACATTGCTGATGGCAATAAAAAATGGCCAAGCCATCTTGGAAAACAGTTTAAATCTATCTCAAAACATTAAACATAATTTTACCATAGCAATTGCACAACTATATATTGCCTAGATAAATGAAAACATGTTATTATAGAAACTTGAACACAAATGTTCAGCAGCAGCAATATTCATCGTAGCTCAAAAGTGGGAACAATCTCCATCCTTATCAATTGGAGAATAGTTGAACAAAATGTGATACGAAATTGTACTCAACAGTACAGATGAATGAAGTGATGCATGGTAGAACATGGATGAACTTCAAAACCATTATGTTAAGTGAAAGAAGCCAGGTGTAAAAGACAACACACTGCATGATTCAATTTAAATGGAAAAGTCCAGAAAAGGCACATCTTTAGAGACAGAGAGTCCATCAGTAGTTGTCTTGGTCTCAGGGTGGGACTAGGGATCAACTGGAAAGACACTAATGATCTTTTGGGGGTGATAGGAAAGTATAAAATTTGGATTGAGGTGCTGGTTGCATATCTCTGTAAATTTACTATTTAAAATCATTGAATTCTGTCTTAAAACATGAATTTTGTGGTATGTAAATTTAACCATTAAAGTTGACTTTTTTCTTAACTTTTTTTGTACTTTTCAGTTTTTTGTTTTTAGATTTATTTATTTGATAGAGGCAAAGAGAGAGAGCGAGCGAGCTTTCACCTACTGGTTCACTACCCCAATGACTGCAATGGGTGGGGCTGGGCCAATCTAAAGCCAGGAGCCAGGAGTTTCTTCCAGGTCTTCCATGTGGGTCCAAGCGTCCAAGGACTTGGGACAGCCTCCACTGCTTTCACAGGCTGGATCAGAAGTGGAGCAGCCGGGACATGAACTGGAACCCATATGGGATGCTGGCACTGCAGGTGGTGGCTTTACCTGCTACACCACAATGCCGGCCCCAGTACTTTTTTTCTAATCTTTAAAAATTTTTTTATTTATTTGTAAGGCAGACAGAGACACAGAGTTCTTCCAACTGCTGTATCACTTCCCAAATGCTTACAACAGCTGGGATGGGCCAGGCCAAAGCCAGAAGCCTGGAACTCCATCCAGGTCTCCTATGCAGATGGCAAGGACCCACGTACTTGATCCATCATCTACTGCTGTCCAGGATGCGCAACAGAGGAATCTGGACTGGAAGTGGAGTAGCTGGGACCAGAACCAGGTACTCCACTACAGGATGCAGACATCAAGTGGTGACTTAGGTGACCCCTTACTTTCCTTTTATTTATTTGAGAGACAGAAAGACACAGAGAGAGCTTCGTACGGATTCAGGAATTCTACCTGCTTCACTCCCCAAATATCCCTGTCAACAGCTGGAGTTGGGCCAGGAGGCAGCCAGTAGCTAGGAAGTCAATCCAGGTCTCTCACGTGAATGACAGGAACCCAACTACTTGAGCCATTGCTGCTGCCTCCCAGAGTCTGCATTAGCAAGGAACCAGTACCAGGAGCTAGAGCTGGAGCTGGGAGTTGAACCCCGGTACTGTGATGTGCAACATGGGCATCCTAACCAGCAGTTTAACCACTAGGCTGAGCGTATACGAATTTATTTGGTATTTAGCTCCTTCATTTCACATTCAAGATAGTTATACTAGGCAAGTGAAAAGCATGCAGGTGACAAAAGTGCCCTGGAGTGAGACAGTGGTGGTGGTTCCACCTCTTTGTGAATATACTAAAAGCCGGTTGGTTGCACACTCATACATACTTGGCTCTGAATCCCAGCTCTGGTACTTTGAGTATGTTATTCAGATGTTCAAGTTCTCAGTTCCCTCATATGTAAAATGCAATTAATGCTATTTATCTCATTGGATTGTTGTGAGGATTAACAAAGTTAATACTTGTTTAGCTGATGCCAATTAATAAAAATATCCTATGTTTTTACTTCCAATAAGTTTCTGGTGATGAAGCATATTATAGTACATTTATTGTCAAACGGATCTTTTAATTAAGATATAATTTGTGTATCCAAAGACACATTCTGCTAAACTGTACAATTCAATCAGCTTTGAGTATATTCGCAAAGATGTGGAACTGCCACTGTCTAACTGCAGAGCACTTTCATCACCTCAACGCTTCTGAATCGCTAGTACAACTATTTTGAATGTAAGGTAAACACCAAATAAACGTCCACACAAATGCATATTTCCACCATCACTTAACCAATGAATGCACTTATTGAAACATAACTTCCTGGAGGCAGCTGAGGCATAGCAGGTAAAGCTGCCACCTGCGATGCAAGAATCCCACAAGGGCTCCGGTTAAAGTCTCAGCTGCTCCACTTCCAATCCAGCTCCCTACTATGGCCTGGAAAAGCAGTAGCACGTGGCTCAAGTCCTTGGGCCCCTGCACCCACGTGGGAGACCCAGAAGAAGCTCCTGGCTCCTGGCTTTGGATCGGCACAGCTCTGCCATTTGGGGAGTGAACCAGTGCATGGAAGACCTCTCTCTCTGTGCCTCTGGCTCTCTGTACCTCTGCCTTTCAAATAAATAAATAAACCTTAAAAAATATAACTTGCTATGTTAGGTACTGTACCTAAAACTGAGGTGATTTTTATAAAACATGTATTTATGTTTAAGTTATTTATTCGATGAACACAGTTAACCTAAATTCTTATTTACCTTTCCCAACATTTTTTCTAGTTAGGAACGCATAGCTGTTATAACAGAAAATTTGTATATAAATGTATGGAGAACAAAAGTCACTTCTTTTTAACGCAGGAAACACGATAAAAAAAAAATAAAGGGAACATGCTAAGAAAACCTCAAAGATCTTTAAAATTAAAGTACCGATTTATCGGTAATCCATTGAAGAAGTTTATTTCCTGCATCCACTTTTTTTTTGTTTAAGCTAACTTTGGACGCTTTTACGACACCCAGCTTCAATCTGATAGTAAATACACTTTGAAAGTACCCTAGCATCGCTAAGGACCACTTCCCCGGCCCTTGAAACCGCTCTCTGGGAAGAAGCTATAAACTAGGCTATTGCCAGCCCTGCGCTTCACCAAACCTCCACGCGAGGGCGTTCTTGCCGCCGCGCGCCGCCAGGGGCCGTGCGGGGACGTGAGCGTGGCGAGCGCACATGCGGCTTCTTCCTGGTTGAGTCCCGTCCAAGTCAAGCGCTAGTTCCCAGAGGATCTCGCTTTACTGACAGAAGCAGAATTTTTTTTTTAAAAAAAGAGAGAAGATAAAAAGGGACTACTTCCTCCTGCTGCTCTCACACCCCAGCTAAGAGGCGCAGGTTCCGGGAGTCTCTTTCGGCCACCCCCACAGGAAACGGAAGTGGCTTCTCCCTTGTCTGCGCGCGCGTCCCGTTGCCGCGCAGAGGGCCTTTTTCTGGGAGCTGCCCTCAGCGTTGCCTGCGCAGATATCTAACATGTTTGCGGCAGAAAGATTCCAAAACGTTGTCCTGTGATTTTTTTGTAAGCCTTCCGGTAGGCACTGTGAAAGTTCAGGCAGGGAGAGGTACAAGTAGGGCGGCCATTACTGCGGCAGTCATCCTTTTTTTCCGAGCGTGGACCCTAGTCGGCCCGCCTTACTCGGCTTCTCCGCCCCGCACAGGGACCTTGTACTGTCATGCGGCTGCCGGGGCAACTTCCTTCCTCTCCGGGCAAGATGGCGGGGGGCGAAGCTGGGGTGACTCTGGGGCAGCCACATCTTTCTCGGCAGGATCTCGCCACGTTGGTGAGCTTTCGCTTTGGGAGGACTTGGGAGAGGGAATGGCCCGGCCTCCCGGGAGGCGTTGGGACAAGGCAGTTCGTGGCTGGTGGGAGCGTGGATTTAGGAGGGAGCTCCGGGGGCTGGCGCCGTGAGCCACCTGCATGCACCTCGTCCAGTCTGCGAACTGGATGTGGGTTTCAGATGGCGGGATCTCGGGCTCTTGAAGGACTTGGCTAAGCCTTAGTGTTAAATGTCATTAAGGTGTTCACCTCTGAAAGTCTGGGGTGGAGGTCTCTCCACTGTCCTCGGTGCTAATGTTCCGAAGCTCAAGAGCCTCCTGCCTCCACGTCTCCCACAGTGAGTGGAGATATCGCCCGTTGTGTAATGATGAAGGGTCCTTAGTGCTTCCCAACCATCAGAGTGCAAGATTTCTTATACAGGAAGAGCGCTTTTCGAAGTAGGGATTATACAGGTGGTGGTGAGCTATAGTTGGCAATTGTAAGTCAATGTCTGATGTGCAGTGTTTGAAAATAAATCTGGTTTGTTGCAGGATGTTACCAAGTTGACTCCACTTTCACACGAAGTTATCAGCAGGCAAGCCACAATTAACATAGGTAAGATAAGAATAACCTAGAGAGCAGACTTCATCTCCAGCGAGTCATTTTAACCTGTCTTTTTATGTAGTTACATGGACAGTCTGAGGATTCAGGTATTCAAGAAAAGGTGTTGAGCCCGTGTGAGCAGAGCACCTGCTAGACTCTTGGGAAGCAACGCATTTTCGCTCCTATCTAGCTCATAGGCTAGGTGAAGACATGAAGACTTAAATAGCATAAGGCGCTATGTAGTCATGTTTAATGGAGTTTAAGGAGGACGTGAAAATGTGGCTGTACCTGTCACACTGGGTTATTCCAAGGGCAGGGCTTAGGGAAGTTTTATTTGATATATAAGCTATGATTAAGTATTTTTTTCCCTCTTAATTGGCACTTAGAAATTGAGAAGTTATGTTGACTGGATGTCAATTTTGGACATTTTGAAAGTCTGTATAAGCAACGCAGTAAAACCTAGTTGAAAGTAAGACTCTACCATGAAGCTATAAAAAAGTTACAAAATGGGAGCTATCCTTGACATCATTCCTGTAATTAAACTTGTGTTTTTTCTTGTTTTCATTAATTCCTTTTTGTCTTCTTACGACTCATCATGCCTATTTACTTCTCTGGAAATGCTGGAACACTTGTTGGTATAATAAGTATTTCTTATTTTAAATGAAAGCAGCCTTTATTTTATTAAAAACAAATAGATAAGGTTGTTAGTTACATGGAAAATTCCCTTCAGTTCTGTAATCAGAATAAGTTTTTAGTAGAAACGTTTGTGTGGATGAAAAATTGAAGTCACTGTTGGTTTTACATTAACATTTACTGTGAATTATAGCTTTGAGTTTTCTACTCTTAACACTATTTGAAAAAATACTTGGTGTAATTGAATGCACATGTGTTAATTTTTTTGTACTTTGTCTATAGGTACAATTGGTCATGTAGCTCATGGGAAATCCACAGTTGTAAAAGCTATTTCTGGAGTCCATACTGTCAGGTTCAAAAATGAACTAGAAAGAAATATTACAATCAAGCTGGGATATGCTAATGCTAAGGTGAGTTGTGTACTGTGTAACTAAGAACTATGTAATTGTTGTGCAGAGAACAAACCCAAAACTTGCTTTCCATTGAAACTTTTAGATTTACAAACTTGATGACCCAAGTTGTCCTCGGCCAGAATGTTATCGATCATGTGGAAGTAGTACACCTGATGAGTTTCCTACGGACATTCCAGGCACCAAAGGGAACTTCAAATTAGTCAGGTGACTTCTTCTATGCTAAAAATGCTTTATGGTTTTTATCTTATACTGTCTGTGCTTTGGGCCTTTTGAAATATTTAATTGAAAATTTTAAACAGTAACTATAACTGCTGAATGGCTTTATTTTTCCATTTTTATTTTACTGCCTATAATGATTTGAAGTCAAATATTAAAATACTTATATTCAGGTTCTCTAAACCAAAAGTAGCAAAGAAGCCAAATTGAGTGGGGGGAACACAACTTTTCTTGGATTTAAAGGATTCTTTTTTCTAGGCTTTCTAAATTTCTTTTAAGCCGTGTTGTTTCTGTTTATTCAATAAAAGAGAAAGCTATTCTGAATTACTTGTTTAAAACACACTGACTTGCTCCTTACCTTATCTTCCTGAGTATGATTGCATGTCCTTGTTCTGTCTCAGAGAGTGCTGGCATCTGTCTGGTGCTGGTTCCTTGCTCTACAGGGAAATTTTAGATCAGAAACAGGACTAGATGTAAGGGTAGGGAGGGCATGACTGAAGAATTCAGCAGTAATCAGGATCAGTATTGTGATGCAGTTTTTAAAAAAAGAAATGCAAAAATTTTTGATGAAAAGAATGTCAATTTTTTTTAAGATTTATTTATTTATTTGAAAGACAGAGAGGCAGAGGTGAGAGGTCGTCTGTCTGCTGGTTTACTCCCCAATTGACTGCAATGGCTGGAGTGGTGACGATCTGGAGCCAGGAGCCAGGAGCCCCTTCTGGGTTTCCCACATGGGTGCAGGGGCCCAAGGACTTGGGCCATCCTCCACTGCTTTCTCAGGGCATAGCAGAGAGCTGGATCGGAAGTGGAGCAGCCGGGACTTGAACCGGCGCCTAAATGGGATGCCGGCACTGCAGGTGGCAGCTTTACCCACTATGCCACAGCGCCGGCCCCAGAATTTTCAATAAAAGCACAGTTAATATTACTTAGATTTTTCTCTTGCTTCCACATTCCTTTTTTAATTTGTTTTTGCTCAGTATAGCATTGTAACTGATCCTGTTTTTGTTTAAAATTTTGGTGTCTTGTTCATTATGGATTTTTTTGTACTTTTTTTTTTTAAAGAAAATTGAATTTAAATATGTAAAATTTAAATTTAAATATGCAGCTTGAATACTGAGGGTGTTTTATTTGACATTTTGAGAGTGACACACTTGTCTCCATTTGATCCTTGTCCTGGTCAGGACGCACAGACTTGCTCAGTTAGTAAATATTTTCAGCTTTGCTGGGCATAGAGTCTCTGTTCCAGGCACTCCATTATAGGATGCAGGTGTCCCCAAGCAGCATCTTAACTGCTGTGCCAATTGTCCACCCCTAACATGCATTTTCTAGGTCATTAAGTTTTGGTTTTCAAAACAATGACATTTCCAGTATAACTTCAGATACCATTATTCTGTGCCATATTCACTTTGGATGTGGCAGTTTCTGTTTCTGCAGTTATTTTTCACATAGCTCATTTCATTTGCTTTGTGATGATCTACAGTGATTTTACTCTCAGCCAGGAATCTTTATTTCTAAACTCTGGAAACCAAATCCATGCAAGCATTTTACAGACCTAAGAATTGTTTGCTAAGTGATTTAAATTTAGGAGATCGATAACTTGCATGTTTAATTACTGATTGATCCTGAGACTGACTGTTGTTTTGAATCGGTAGACATGTTTCCTTTGTTGACTGTCCTGGCCATGATATCCTGATGGCTACTATGCTGAACGGTGCAGCAGTGATGGATGCGGCTCTTCTGTTGATAGGTGAATACATCCCAGTTGGACAAATCAGTGCGGGACAATCGGGCTGGAATATTTCAAGGGGACCTAAGGCCTTTCAGAGCCATATCCATTACCTATGGGTGACGTGAATGGGAAGTAACACATCATCTAGGATGACATCCCTACTTACCCAGCTGTCACAAAATATTAAACAAGATAGTCCTGAGTCTGATGGTTTCTGAGAATTCTTAAGATAGTATCCCCTCCAAAAAAGAAAAAAAGAATCAATAATACATTTTCTCTGTTTATGTCACATGAGATGATTTATTAGTTTTAAATTTATATGTAAAAGTATGTGTGGGGGGATTTTTCTCTCTGAGCTGTCTACTTGTAGATGTATAATGATTTTATTTAAATGTAAATATCATTCATAAAAAGTGCTAAAGTCTAGGCCTGAGTGGGGTTTTCAAAGCTTAGGTTTGTGCTTCCTTTGTCCTGTGAGCTGTCAAGAGATTATGCTGCAGTGGTATGTAAGTTTTTAAAAGCATGTCAGAGAATATAGTACAGAACACCTGAACATTGCTTCTTGGAGAGGGTGATTGTTAAAGTGTTCAGGAAAACCTGTCTCTGTTGGCTGTCTTCACAGTGTTCTTTCCTCTGTTTATAGAGGAACAGTCTATGGTAGTTAAAATTCGTTGACAGTATTAAGTGTCTTTCCCTCCTAACTTTTGCCTCAGGAATTTGACTCAGCCAGAACATCTCTGAGAGCCAGAGGGCTATCTCTAATGCTAAAGCAAAAAGCTGACTTTAAGAAGCAGCCAAACCTGTTGATTCCAGGCTTCATAGGATCAAGAATGGGAGCCAGAAGATCAGGAGGCTGCAGTGAATGCTGGCTGAGAGTGAAGCAGGGCCAGAAGGTGGATGCTTGAGGACTTTTGCTCGAGCAGGCTAGAATATTCTTAAGTCTCTCATTTAGATGTAAGCCTTTTTTGGGTGGTGGTAGCAAAATATACACATTATCTAAACCACCATTTTAGCCCTTCAAAGTGTACAATTCAGTAGCATTGAGTGCATTCACGATGTTGTACAGTGTAGTGCTTGCAGTATCACCACTATCTAGTATTAGAGCTTGTTCATGACCAAAGGAAATCCCATGCGCGTTAAGCAGTCACTCCCCATTCCCTGTTCCTCCTAGCTACCGATAATCTGCGTTCTATCTGTAGATTTTCCTGTTCTGGAATTTCCAGCCATACTTAACGCATCTTTTTTGTCATTCATCAACCAGCTGGTAATGAATCTTGCCCTCAGCCTCAGACTTCCGAACACCTGGCTGCTATAGAAATCATGAAACTGAAGCATATTTTGATTCTACAAAATAAAATCGATTTAGTAAAAGAAAGTCAGGCAAAAGAACAGTATGAACAGATCCTTGCATTTGTACAAGGTAAGCCAGAATATTTAATATATCTATAAATCACTGAGAGGCATTTAATCCAGATAACAGATGTTAAAATAGCTTTTTTTTTTTTTTTTAAATATATAAAGATTTATTATTTTGAGAGAGTGGGAGAGACAGAGAGCTCTTCCAACTGGTGATTCACTCCCTAGATAGCTACAACAGCCAAAACTGGCCCAGGCTGAAGCCAGGAGCCAGGAGTTTCTTCCTAGTCTCCCACGTGGATAGCAGGGGCTCAAACATTTAGGTCATTTTCTGCTGCTTTCCCAGGCCATTAGCAGGGAGCTAGATCGTAAGTGGAGCACTCCGGACATGAACTGGTGCTCATATGGGATGCTGGCATTGCAGGCAGCCACTTCACCCACTAGACCACAGTGATGGCCCCATAAACTAGCTTTTTTATATATATATATTTATTTTTATTTTTTATTTGAAAGAGTTATAGAGAGAGATAAAGACAGAGAGGTCTTCTACTCCCCAGATGGCCGCAATGGCTGGAGCTGCACCGATCCGGAGCCAAGAGCTTCTTCTGGGTCTCCCACGTGGGTTCAGGGGCCCAAGGACTTGGGCCATCTTCTACGATGCCAGTGCTTCAGGCCAGGGCGGTAACCCGCTGCCCCATAAGCTAGCTTTTAATATAATAGATGATCTAAAATCAGATAAGCTTACAGGTTTTAAGCCTTTTTTCTCTACCTACCACTTGTTGGTCTGTAACTAGTGAAAGCTATGTTAAAAAAAAAATCTTCAGTGATAGTAAAATGAATAAAAGCTTTAAAAAAAAATCTTATTTACTGAACAAATATTTTCAAAATTACAAGTGATAGTGATTTAAAGTGTCCTTTTTGTAGCAGCTTGCTTTTTATTTCAGAGAAGACATCTGCATTTTATTGTTAATATTTGATTGTCTCTTAGCTTTGTTTTTCTCCCTTTTTTAAAAACTTGTTTAAGATTTACTTGTTTATTTGAAAGAATTAGAGGGAGAAAGAGATCAATCTTCTATCTGGTGATTCATCCCTAAAATGGCTGCAATGGCTAAGGCTAGACCAGATCAAAGCTAGGATCCAAGAGCTTTATCTGGGTCTCCCACATGGGTGCAGGAGCCCAAATACTTGGACCATCTTCCACTGCTTTCCCCAGGCCATTAGCAGAAGCTGGATTGGAAGTGGAGCAGTGGAGACTTGAACCGATTCCCAGATGGGGTGCCGGCATCAGTGGGTGGCTTTACCTGCTACATCACGATGCTGGCTCCTGTTTTTCTCCTTAACTTTCAATAAACCCAGTTGAATTGTGAAAAAAGAAAAGTCATTTTGATTAAAATATAATTATACTCCTTTCTCTCTGTCTCTCTCTCTCACTGTCCACTATGCCTGTCAAAAAAATAAAATAGCCAGCGCCGCGGCTCTCTAGGATAATCCTCCACCTTGCGCCGCCGGCGCACCGGATTCTGTCCCGGTTGCCCCTCTTCCAGGCCAGCTCTCTGCTGTGGCCAAGGAGTGCAGTGGAGGATGGCCCAAGTGCTTGGGCCCTGCACCCCATGGGAGACCAGGAGAAGTACCTGGCTCCTGCCATCGGATCAGCGTGGTGCGCTGGCCGCAGCGGCCATTGGAGGGTGAACCAGCGGCAAAGGAAGACCTTTCTCTCTGTCTCTCTCTCTCACTGTCCACTCTGCCTGTCAAAAAATAATAATAATAATAATAATAATAAAATAGAATTATGTTTCTTTCATTTGTTTGAATAGCTTGTTTGACATATAATTAATAAGAAGCAAATGTTATGTGTGCCAACAGTCTGGGACTAGCAGAGTCTAATAATTTTATCTTGATATTTATTGGGGAATTAATTACATGTTATCAAAAATTTTTTCAACTAATAAAATATTCTTTCCCAGGAGTGTATTTATTTCTTTGAACACTTTTCATGATTTTACTACATTAACTATATCTGTTAATATAATTTTACACTTTTTCCCTTAAAAGAAATGGAATTCATTTTCAGGAATAAAAACAGTGATAGAAAATTGCCATCTTTCTAAACAGGATTTTCACTTTCTGCTTGTTGCTGGCATTTGTGTGAGGATGTTGGTGCCTCTACTTTAGTAATCTCAGGTTTTTTTATGTAACAGAGGTGTGGAGTAAGTTTTGTGAAAATGAAGATGTTTGATCTTTCTGTAATTTGTCATTTAGGTACAGTAGCAGAAGGAGCTCCCATTATTCCAATTTCTGCTCAGCTGAAATACAATATTGAAGTTGTCTGTGAGTACATAGTAAAGAAAATTCCAGTACCCCCACGAGATTTTACTTCAGAGCCCCGACTTATAGGTAAGTGGTATGAGACACCTTTAACTCTTTAGTCTTTGCCACATTGGTGATTCCCTCTTTAAGGGTGTTACTTTCCTCTTTCTGCAGAGATTATAATAAATCCCTAATGTTTTCTTGAAATCTTACTAATTGTCAGATTATATTGACCTTGGTGGATGAGGAGCAGAGTCCTGACTATAGTAGGAACTGCTAACATATTGCATAACTTACTATGTAATGTGTGATCAAGATGGAGTAATCTAGTATTCTCTACGGAATTATAATGCTTAGAGATACTAGCACTTTGATACAAAGGATTTCATTGTACTGTTAATGAAGAACCAATATTAGTGTAATTTGATCATCCAAGCTTGTGATTCCTATGTGGGAATGTAAGGGCCTTTTTTTTTTTTTTTTAAAGATTTATTTATTTATTTATTTCAAAGGCAGAGTTACAGAGAGGCAGAGGCAGAGAGAACGAGAGAGGTCCTCCATCCAGTATGCATTCCCCAGATGGCTGAATCGGCCAAAGCTGGGCTGATCCAAAGCCAGGCGCCAGGAGCCTCCTCCAGCTCCTCGATGCGGGTGCAGGGGCCTAAGGATTTGGACCATCTTCTACTGCTTTCCCAGGCTATTGCAGAGAGCTGGATCGGAAGGGGAGCAGCTGGGACTTGAACCGGCGCCCATATGCGGTGCTGTGCTGTAGGCAGGGGCTTTACCTGCTGTGCCGCAGCGCAGGACCCAGGGGCCTTTTCAAAGCAGATCTTTGAGCCCCTTGCGGGTTTGTTAGACTTGTGTGTCTTTGGTGGGAAATGTTCTCTGGAGTGACCTAAGTGCAGGCTACCATAGTCCTAGAGTTGTTTTGTTTTATGGTTGTAAAACTAACACATTATTTAATATGAGCAGAGGAGAGGTATGTAAAGAAAATGTCCATAGGCTCCCTACCTTTCAGTTCCAGTCCCTTAACCCTGAAATAGTTAATATGTAAAGATTTATTTATTTGAAAAGCAGAGTTACAGAGAGGCAGAGAGAGGAAAGTTTGCTATGGCCTAGCTGGACTGATCCGGAGCCAGGAGCCAGGAGCCAGGAGCTTCTTCCAGGTCTCCTACGTGGTTGCAGGGGCTCAAGGACTTGGGCCATCTTCTACTGCTTTCCCAGGCCATAGCAGAGAGCTGGATCAGCAGTGGGGCAGCTGGAACTTGAACCGGCGCGCACATAGGATGCCAGAATTTCGGGCGGCGGCTCTACCTGCCACACCACAGTGCCGGCCCCCTTCCCATATCTCTTAAATTGTGTATAGGTTACTTATACCTAATACAGTATACTTGGTATGCAAGTAAACTTTATGCTCTGTTATTTAGGGAGTAGTGACCAAAAAAAATCTGTACATGTTTATACAGTTGCAAATGTTTTTTCTAGAATAGTTTCTCTACTTGGTTGAACATTAACAGCTGCATGATACTCTGTAGTGCACATATACCCTAGTATACCATGTATTCATGAATTTTCAAGTTACTTTTCCCACCATACAGCTGTAGTTAGCATTGAAGTAATAATAGATTTTGTTAGAAAGTCATCCCTTTGTTATAAATTTTATGTGGCTACTGTTTTAGAAAAGTTAACTTGGAAGATGCTGTTTCTTCTAGAGTTAAAATGGACAGAATTGGCTTTAATTTGTTTTATTTTTTCCAGTAATTAGGTCATTTGATGTCAACAAACCTGGTTGTGAAGTTGATGACCTTAAGGGGGGAGTAGCTGGTGGTAGTATTCTAAAAGGAGTATTAAAGGTAAATGAGTTTTGATTGTTGTGTTTTTGTTTTGTGCTGTTTTATTTTGCTCTTGCGTTAATCAGAAAGAAGTGTGGAGAGTTGAAAATATTCTTTTGTGCTGCCTAGTTTGTTTACTATAAATGTCTTTTGAATGTGTCTGACATCTAAATTTATAGGCTTCTTTTGAGTGTGGAGCACACTCTGTTTAGTGACTGGCTTCTTGGGTGGTAGGTAGGTAACAGTTGGGTGGTTCTGATTTGGAGGCTATCTTCCACAGTCTTTTGTGGTTTTTAAAACAGTGCTTTTTGAAATCGAGGAAGCATTCAATTTTCTGCTCTTCCTGTTAGAACGTTTGATAGTTGTGTTCCACAGTAATTCTAAGTACTGATGATATGTTTACAGGTGGGCCAGGAGATAGAAGTTAGACCTGGCATTGTTTCCAAAGATAGTGAAGGAAAACTCATGTGTAAACCAATCTTTTCCAAAATTGTATCACTTTTTGCGGAGCATAATGATCTTCAGTATGCTGCTCCAGGCGGTCTTATTGGTAAGTACTTTCCTCTTATCCCTTTTTCTTTTGAATTTTTTGATATTAATGGTACTTTACATGGGAAATGAATTACTCAGAAAGGTAGAAATGTTTAATTGGTATTTCTCAATAATTGAATGATGTGAGGGAAATATTCATGTGGTTAAGCTTTTGATATTAGGTTATAAAATGCTTTTGTGTATTTGTAAAAGTTTTAAATGTAAAGAATACGTTTTGGCACTTGTCCTAGCAGTTAAAATGCTGTTTACACTCCCTTGTCCCATGTCAAAGTGCTTGTGTTTGATTCCTGGCTCTAGCTTCTTGCTAATGCAGATCCTGGAAGGCAGCATGGTTCCTGCCACCCATGTGGGGGACTTGAAATGAATTCCTGGCTCCCCAGCTTTAGCCCCTGCCAGCCACTTGGCCCAAGGTACTCAGGGGCATTTGGGGAGTGAACCAGCAAGTAGGAGTTCTCTATTTGCCTCTCAAATACATAAATAAATAAATTTTATGCCACAGAAGCCAGGGCTGGGCCAGGCTGAACCCAGGAGCCTGGAACTCCATCCAGGTCTCCTATATGGGTGGCAGAGCACAAGTACATGGGCCATCATCTGCTGCCAGCATTAGCAGGGAGCTGGATCAGAAGTGGAGCAGCTAGGACTCAAACCGGGGTTCATGTTGGGATGCCAGCTTTGCAGGTGGCGGCTTAGCCCACTGCGCTGCAGTGCTGGCTCCAGTAACTCCTTTTTAGCAATAACAAAATAAGTATTATGACCTGGCATTTGAAATACCTAATTACTTATTTTTTTGTCTATACAGTTTTGGAGTAGAGAATGATTGCTTTATGTACAAGTATGTTTTGCAAATAGAAAGTCATCTATAAATGTCAGTTTAATGATGTCAGATGATATTTACACAGAGATGGGAATAATAGAAAAGTTACATTATATAGGGATTGCTGAAATAAGGATTTTCCACTCTCTTACAACTTAGTGTATTACTCAATATCCAGAAAAAGGCAGCATTCAGTAAGAATTGTAACTTGGGATGAAAAAAAAAGAATATTCGATAAAGTAGTTTATTCTTCACCAAACAAGTTGGTTGTCTGGTTTTTGCCTATATAATTCATTTTTCCATTCTGTCCTGTGATTAAGACTTTACTGCATACAATTTTATTTTATATTTTTTTCCAAATAAAGAAACTCTGGAAACTTCTTTTTTCTTATTAAATTTAGATTATGAAACTCTTGAAACATAATACTGTAATGATAACCTCCATATAGCCACCACTTAGCTTCAGCAGTTATCACCACTTTGCCAGTCTTGCTTCATCTATTTGTTTTCCTTCTCTCTAAGACACACAGTTAAAATATTTTGAAGTGAGTCTCAGGAATTGTGTATGAAGTCTTCAAGCTGTCTTTTTGATCAGCATTCTAGGGGGAAAATGGCATAAAAATATTCTGCAAACTACTCACTAGTTTTGTGTCTTTTCCATGTTCATTGAGTATATTCAGACTCACTTTAAGGTAGTTATTTATTTGCCCTTTGTTTAGAATTTGAATAGAGAGAACCTTTTTGTTCTCATTTGTGCAATGAAACAGTGACTTTACAGTTGTTTCTTTAAGTAAAATGCGTATTTTACTCTGCCTTTGTACCTATTATGTAAGTGTGAAAATATAAGTATATATCAAAATGTATAGATATATGCTGTGCTTATTTGACTTAGATTTTGGGGGAAATAATTCCCTTTATAGGTATTTTAGGAAATAAAGTGCTGAACTATATATACATTATTTTATGTACTAGGAGTTGGAACAAAAATTGACCCTACTTTGTGCCGTGCTGACAGAATGGTGGGACAGGTGCTTGGTGCGGTTGGAGCTTTACCTGAAATCTTTACAGAATTGGAAATTTCA